CGATCGAGGATCAAAACGGTCCCAACCACATTCTCAAATACCGCAAGTTACTCTGCCGTGCTAAGGAAGAACGCCGTATGAACCTCCAGGCGTTGCCAAATTTCCGTTGGTAAATCACGAATTTTTGGGAAAATTTGTGAATATTTTTCTTCCAATTTTTCAGATAATTTTGCTCGCGATTTTACCTAAAGTTCCTGAAAATTTAAAGGAAAAGCATTCATAACTTTTCTTAAAAATAAACGTTTTACCGAAGGAAATTTGGCAACTCTCGAATGTTCATACGGCGTTCTTCCTTAGCACGGCAGTACTATACCTCCCCGCGTGAAGCGCATCGATGACGTCACTCTTGAAAACGGTCAAAACGAGATGAACGACTCCGCCGGAGATGGGATCCGGCGCGTCGCGGCGGCGCGCGGTGGTAGCGGCGCGGAGTGCCTGACCTTGTGCAAGCGTTTCGCAACTTACGTGGGCCGTGACGTAACGTGGTGACGTCACTCGGCGCTGGGCGCAAGCTCCCACCATCCCACTCCCGGCGCTAAAATCTATACCTCGCCTCCGCGGCGGAGCCGAAGCCGGGAACGTCAGGGATAGCCCAAGCTCAAGCTCGCCGAACACGCCAGTCTTACGCCCGCTCTCGCACGCTCCGCACGGTGTCAGTGATTCAAGTGTCGGTTTCTCGTCCCAGTGATCCCAAGTTCGACTTCCCAAATGGCTGACGGCATCAAGCGTGACATCCCGATCCGATTGGGGGATTTCAGTGTCATCGACTCCGAGTTCAGCAACATCCGCGAGCGCTTCGACGCCGAGATGAAGAAGATGGAGGACGAGATGACCAAGTTCAGGTCCGAGCTCATGAACCGCGAATCCAACTTCTTCAAGACCACCACGAGGTAATTCAGATTTAACTCGAGTTTGGGAATTAACGAGAGTTTTGGGAATTAACGAGAGTTTTGGGAATTAACAAGGATATAACAGAGCATCATTGGGTATTAACACGTAAAAACATTGCTCCAGAAATCGACGGCTCGTAAGTTGAGAAATATGTCTCTCCATTGCAGCATCTCAAAATTTGTGATTTTAATTTGTTTTTCTCGAAAAAACGGAGGGAATTATCTCATGAAAATTTTTCGATTTTAGTTTTGAATGAATGGAAAATTATATACGCAGAAAATGTATGGGGAAACGGATTAAGTATTTGTAGTTTTCTTCTTCTTTTTAAAAAAAAATAATCAAAATAAGCAGTGAAATCATAAATAATTCGGAAATTTGCATCGTTGCAATAAGAGGTATGCTTTTTTCAACTTCAGCCATCGATATCTAGCTTTAATATTTGAGTTTCCTAATTTTTAATACTCGGCCGGTAGTGAGTGGCCAGCACTACGGTACAACAATAATGAGCCATCGAGAATTGTCATTTTTAGTATTAAAATTTTAGGTTTTCATTGCCCAATTGCCGCAGTAGGCACCGGAAATTCAATTCTTGAACATAAATCAGCAGATTTTCTTTTTATTTCAATTTGTTTTCGCACCAACGTTGCTTCGGAAAGTCTATATGTATTCAAATACAATTTAAACAGACTCTAATCGCCAGTATGGTATAGAAAATGTTTTCATTGTTTCGAAACGAAAGAAAAAGCGAATAAATATTACACCCTATAGGAACTCGTGTGAATTGCGTCATTCTTTATCGTTACATTTTGCACCAATTAGTGTTTGCAACACGATGCTGTAAACATTTCCTCTGATTCTAATTGGTTCCAACGGGAGCGTGGCGGTTTGGCGCGAAAACTGTAGCTTTCAAATAACCCCATAATACAGCAAGCATGCGTTTCAAGAGATATTTTTTCTTTCGTTTTTATCGCTGAAACATTTTAGTTATTTTTTTTTTTTTTTTTTTTTTTTTTTTTTTTTTTTATATATATATATAAATTTATTGAGATGTATAACAAATACACGAACCAACCAGTTTAATAATTTTTTTTTGGAAAACATAATTGTAGTATTTTTTTGAGTTACCTTAGTGCAGTATTGCTTTTTGGTGCCATCACTCTTTAATGTGGAGCTGCACCGTTTTAAGTCAATCCACTAACAACCCCATTAGAGGGTCCCTTTCAGTTCTCAAAGATTTTTGAGTTTTTTGTTCCTGTTTTTTTTTTTTTTTTTTTTTTTTTTTGAGGGTTGGTCGTGCACAAAGTTTTCGCACCTTTTTCTAACAATCAGTAGAACTGTGTTTGTTTTTTCAATATTTTCGACGAATCGTTGAACATTTTTTTCATCAAATTGTATTTTAAAAATCAAATAATAATTTCGAGATTGTGAACTGGTAGGTCCCGAGGCATCGAACCCCTTAAAATCTCATCCCCTCTCCCCCCATGAAAAGTTTCTGTCACGCCGTCACCATTTCTTTACTCAAATAGCTATGAAGATTCATTCCGAACCCTTTGAAAGCTTTCATATCAATTGATTGTGAGGAGCGATGTGATACCAACATTTTCTCGTACTGTTATCAGTGCGGTTTTGCTTTTCAAGCAAAAGGGCAGAGATATTGGTCAGTAATTGAAATATTTTGATTTTTTATTGGAACAGTAGCAACGAACGTACGTGCTAATACAGAGTAGGCATATTTCATGGACATGTCCAAAGGTTCTGAATTGCGTACGGTTGAATTTGTGCAATGGCTTCTCCATAGTGTTATTTTTAAAGAGTAAAATTATCGATGGATGATCATAAATGAACCGCATTGAGTAGAAATGAATCATGTCACATCAACCATTGCCAAATTTCATCGGATTATTTATTTTTTTTACGGGAAATGATAGTGTAGATTCTTCTGAAAATTTCAGAGGATTTCATCTGTGACGCGCGTGAGGCAAATTTCCTGAAATTTTCAGGTGAATCTGTTCATCCGTTCTCCCGTAAAACAATTGATTGTTCGATGAAATTTGGCAGTAGCTGGTGTTACTTAGGTCCTATCTGCTTCACGTGGTACAAATATTTCTCCTGCCTGTCCGAAGTAAAACCTCATATGTACGCAAGATGGTTTCACAAAAAAGAAAAAGAAAAGAATCAGGCTTATATACCTTTTGCTCTTTTGCATTGCTTTTTACATGCGGCTGAAGCACTCACGATCAGTTCGAAAAGGATATGAGTTCTTAGTTTGGAAGCCGTTCTCATTTTGAAGCTTCAGTAATCAAAATATCTCAGTAGCTGAAGTTGAAAAAGATGGAATCTTGAGTTTGACCTTTTAAGTGTTCGATGGCTGAAACCAAGCTTAAGCTAAGTTATTAAAGGAACACTATTTACTATGTTCGTAGGGTTAGAGAGAGGTCTAAAGATGCCTGTTAACGGTGGAAAGAAGTCTTACCTAACCCCCTAAAAATTCTGAAAACTTCCAAAGCTTGATAATTTACAAAATGAAAGAAAAAGCATTCAATAGACCGGGGGAGGGGGTTTAAAGGCGCCTGACATGTAAAAGGAAGTCGAAAAATCGGGGAAAATGCCCGACGTAGTTATTTATGGACGGCCCCTGTCTGAAAACTTGATGGGGCTCAAGGACCGACCAAAGATTAGTTCATTCAACTGAAGTCATTAATCTTACTCTTGTGCAGTAAGCTCTATCAAAGTTGCCAATTTGCATAGCTTCGAACCGAGCACAGAATACCTTATTTGGTTAAAACGTCCACGGTGCTATTTGAAAGAAGTGCTTAAAGTTGAAGCTCCTTGATGCTTCCCTTCCCGCAGAACTTGTCAGTGCTTATCGTGTCAAGATATCCGCATTGTAATTTCTAGAGGGATTTCAAGAGGAATTCTCAGTAGAGTTCAGAACAAACAAACTCAATCCGAAATATTTCGCTGTCAGTCGGTGCAATGGCATCGTGCTGTTACTTGGATGAGCGGCACTTAAAAGCGTTTAATTTGACAGATCGGTTACTTCAGTCGAAAATATTTTTGAAAAAGTGGAATTCTGTCACGACACATATTTTTCACACGATGCGTGGTCTTATCTCTGGTGGAAGGTGTGTCATGCGGAGCATGAAACTATCATTAACCGACTTAATTTCTGAAGTGACACCGGATTATTCAAGTTATTTGTGACGTAACGACATGAAGTTAGGAAGAGGCAATGTGACTCCTACTGAGTCGGCGCGTACTTTTTAAAACGCCGAGTCAACAACAACACGTAGCCGAACGTGCGTAATTCGGATCAGTAAACCTGCATTTTTTTAAAAACAAATTTAGTCCAAAATGTCAATTGAACCACTAAACAGGGATTTCCGTGAAAATCGCTAGAATTTGTTCTGTTGGTCGATTTTTCTCTGTTGTATAATTTTCCGCGACAGTCGGAAGAAGTATTCAAAAATTAAGATTTGGATGAGGAAAGCCTAGAACTTTGGTCAATTTGACAATTTATGGTTTGTCAAAATAGCTAAAATTGCCTTATATGAATATTATTGACTGGAAAATTCATGGAAGTTACTCGATTCTAATGTAGAAAAACCCAAACAAATCGGGAAAAGTTGATGACGGCGCAGAGATACAACTATTCGTGCTTGA